GCCATGCTCTTGATGCAGAAGCTTGCCATGAAGGGTAGACCGGTAGACCTGGGTAAACCGTGTTTGGGTGGGCAGGGTTTGGCCCTGGTAGGGTTGGTCTGTCATGGTCAAGCCAAGTCTTCAGGTCCTCTAGAGGGTGCTTTCTCGGCTCAGCTAAACCTTGGAGGCTCATAGCCTCATAGCCTACAAGTCAATTAGATCAATTAGATCAATCAGATACTCTGGGTGGCTATGTTTTTTTTCATGGCGCGTAGTTGCATGGGGGGTAGGTGCATCTGATCAGTTTTTGCGCAGACTCGCAATGCAACTTACAGAAAATTTTGCTAAGGATGAACGGTCCGGTGCATATGTATGGAACTGCTTGGGGTGGAGGGAATTGGGTCACTTTTGTACGTTGATGATGTTGTGGCCACCTTTCCTTCAAAGCAAGCTGTATTCAATGCAGTGCATGTTGCTTTGCCAATGTATGAACGAATGGTGCGCGCAAGGTTTAATCTGGGCCCACAAAAGACGGCGGTCATGTGTTGCTATGGTGCGGATCCACCGGATATTCAAAATATGCAATGCAGTGTGTACAAGGTGTTGGGTTGCTTTATTGATGAGTCTTTGACTTTGAACAAACAAGAAGCTTTTGTCCTTAATGTGGGAAAGGCCTTATTCACGGAACTTCTCAACATGTCCAATGAGTGTGGTTTTCCTCCCCCTGTCGTTGCAGTGGCTGTTGTACAAAGGGTTGAGCCTGTAATTAATCCTGTATGGTTGCGAGTTATTTGCTATTAGACCCACGGTGTATGCAAAGCTTGATGCATTGCAGGGGTCTTGGGCAAGGCAAATTTGAGGAACTTCTGGTCAATATGATTTCCGGGCTGCGCTGAGTGTGGCATTTTGTAGATGGCGTCAAAGACTTGGAAGTAAAGCTATTGGGCGAGCAATTGTGTACTTGGCGAAAATTCAGTTGTTGCCCACTGAGCATCCAACAGCCCGGATGGTGCTCGCATTATCTACTGTTGGCGAAACTTGGGTTAGTTCTGTCAAAGAACTGATGTCTACCTTTCCAGTTCCTATTCCTTATATCCTTGAATCTGGACTTATATAATATTCCCAATGATGATCTCACTCGTGCACGTGGTGATGCAAAGTGGCGCAGGGTCCTCGTAACAAAATACAAGGCGCAGGTGGTTTTTCCTGCATTGTGCTCCAGGGATGATGCTGAATTTCATCGAGCAGCTAGCAAGTTCTTGCTTGGACTTGGGGTTACCTATCATGATGGTCCCTCAGCGTTCCTCTCAGGGGTGGGATTGGTTACTTCCACTATTGAACGTTGAGGATTGGAAGCTAGTCAAAGTGTGGGCTTTCATATGGCTCACTGGCAAGTGGCCGGCAACATGGGTTGGGGGTAGTGAGAATGTTGCGACTCTGCTACAGTGCCCCCGTTGTCATCAGCAGCACATCACTGTGTTGCATTCGCTTTGCAGTTGCGTTGGTACCATGGCTGATTTCCTTGATTCAGACTTGATGCCTTATGTTTCTAGGCAGTTTCCCATACAGTGCTTTGTGGCGTCACTATTTCACTCTTCTGCGTCCGCTGAAGTTGATGCGGCCAGGGCCAAGTTCGTTGGCCGGACTATTTTGAGGATCTTATCTGAAGCTGCGCCGGTGTAAAATTATGTCCAAACTGGTCTGCACGTATTATTTGGGCGACTGTGGTAACCTTAAGGTTGCTTCTTAGTACTGGTGTTGCCCCACAGGTGCTGTTACTTGGCATACTTTCTTTGTGTGCGTCACAACGACCCGCTCGGCTCTGCCCACGGGTAACGCGTGGCCTGTTTTCACCTCTCACACATTTGCGTTGAACTCCCAGGTGAGCGGGATTAACTCATATGCTCATATGCTCATATGTCGAACGAGAGAATCGATCCACCCAGGGAATCCACTCAGCAGCATTTTTGCATACGTTTGGTTTCTTCTGGGTTCAGGCCCGATGTTTATTCATTCAATTCTAGCCCGCTACACTGGGACATTAATCATCTCTTCAATGCCCTGTCGGTTGAACTCCCCAAACTTGTCTCATTTTGGGGCACTTAGGTGCACCAGGGTGGCTTGACATGGCTTACTTGGATCAGCTGTGTCCTTACTAGTAGTTTAAGATGTTTAAGATGCTTAGGTAAAGACTTACAAGCAGTTAGCTAACCAAGCTAAGTGTTTGTTTTTGCATCACTTGGATGCATTTGAAAATGCATCCTGGTCTTGGAAAAAATCAATTTGACAAATTGATGGGCTGCATTTTCTAAAAAATATTTCAATTCTTGAAGCTTTGCTTTCCATTTTTTTTGGGCAATCAAAGTTTGGATTGGCAGTCTTCTGAATTCAGCTGCGCTCTGAACCTTAAATTCCATCCACAGCCAAGCTGAAACACAAGCACCACATTGGATGTGGACTTTTGGTGCAGCTCACATTGTTTCATATTTGCCTGTCATTGCCAGGCTTGTACGTGTTATGTCAAAGGATGCCAGCCATGGAAGGCTTGCATATTTAAAAGCTATGTAAAGCTTGCACATTGACAAAGCTATGGAAGCTTCCAAATTGAAACAGCCATGAAGGCTTGCACCTCAAAGCAATTAAGGCTTCCAAAGTGAAACAGCCATTGAAGGCTTACATATGTCAAAGCCATGCCAGGCTTGTAAGTTTGGGGAAGCTATTGAAAGCTTGCTTGCCATGAAGCTATTGAAGCTTTCTTCTGTGTTTCATGCAACAGGTTTTGGCTTTGTCAGCGCAAATGGTGAGGGATCAGAGTCACCAAGCCAGCTCTGGACCTAGTGTATGTCACTGAAACCAGAACATCTTTGGCTGGCACCATGATGATACCTGCATCTTCTGTCCATGTGGCATTCCCACAAATGGAGTCATAACTGACGAGTGCGCATTGGGAAGCCAAAATGAAAGCAGCTCCTGCAAAGCTGAAATTGACCAGGATCTGAGCAGCATCCCATGCAGCTGTACCTTGCACCAGCACCACATCTCCTTGAGATACACTATTTCCTGCAGAAAGCACAAGCACCTTGTTGGCAAAGATGTCTTGGCCTGAAATTCCCAGGTGTTGCTTCAAGAATTCTTGAAGCTGCTTGGGTGCTTCGGAATTCTTTTCCAAAGCAAATTCCAGTTTCTGTGCTGCCACCAAATTATGCAATTGCTGAGACAATACCTCTGTGTAGAGAGTATCTTCAAAAAAATTCAAGTTTTGCACCCTTGTTGCTATGGTAGTCACACCTTTGTGTTTCCTTTCCATGGTCCAAACAGGCAGAAGAAGGTGGTGATAAGACAAAGAATCTCCATAATGCAAAAGCCAGTGAAATTTCTTGATGCAAAATGCGTCCCAATTAGCCAGCTTGAAGAAGTGCAGTGTCTCCTCTGCTGCCTTGTCCAGCTGCTGGCCTGTAACCACACCATGCTGTGTAGCAACCAAAAGGTCCATCATCTTGCAAAGCTTCAGGAAAGCAGTTGTTGCATGTGAGCCTGCACCTTGCCTGACCATGCTCTCCACATAGTGTTTGACAATGGGGTACAAGCAGAGCACTTCACTTGCTGTAATTTTCACTTTGAAAGCTTTCCTGTAAGATTCCACTTTGGAAGGAGTGAAAAGAGATGGCAAATCACAAACTTTGTTGCAAACAGCAGGCAGGGTCCAAGCTTTGCAATAATCACTCATGCTTCTCCAACTTTGCAAGCCAATGCTGGTCAAGTGTTCCAAGACCAAGTAGATGCCAATGTTCAAGCAACCATTGGAGCACATACCATGCATGTAATCATGCTGGTACTGGGTGACTGGCCTCAGCCATGGCCTCAAAGCGGCAGAACTCAAGATTCCATGGGTAGAAAAGCTCCAGCCTGTAGCTTGCTGCCAATCTTGAAATTCAGCAGGTGTGCAAACTGCTTTTCTTGCTGCTAATCGATCAAAAGAATTCAAAGCATCATCATCACTGGCCAGCACCAAATCTTTTTTGGTTGTTGCCCTCAAAACTGCATTTTCAAGGCCCTCCTCACCCTCAGCCAAAAAAACAATCTGGTTGCAACACTTCAAGCAAAAGTTGCTTCCACTGTCCCCTTTCAAGCCAAAAGTGATTTTCTGAGAAGCTCCATCTTGGACAATGAAGCCCAGCTGATAATGTACTCTGAAGCACAGGTTGGAGGGCCCATGCAACAACAAACCAATCTCTGGTGGAGCATCATTGGAAAGAAAAATCTTCTCCATGACAACCTTCATGACTTGTCCCATGTGGCCTTCCAATGTTGACACTATCGAGCTCCTGCAAATGAAAAGAGGCAGCCAATGTTGAGTTTGAGCTAAGGCAGGTCTTCCCAATTCCTTAAAGCTTGCATACACTACCCAAACCTTTTTGGCTGCTTTGCCCAAAGCATTGGCTGGCAAGCATTCATCACTGTAAAGGATGACATTCCACATGTTCATAGGTGTTGAAGGCTGTGTTGCCATTGCAGCAGCAAAACATTGATAAAAGCTCCCACCCAATTTACAGCTTGCATGCAAGAGGCTCTGGAAATTCACCGCCTGCAACCCAATGCAGCTGCCATCCACCTTGTGAAATTCATGTGTTTGCAAAATATCACCAAATTGCCAAATGCTGCCTTGCAGCTTCTGTCATTTGCTTTGGGTTTCTGAGCTCTGGCACACCATGTTGCGCCACATCTTTCAAAATGCCATGCAAGCTGGCTTTGCTGCAATTTGGTATAGACCTCCTCAAAGTGTTCAACCTTTGCAGTTTAGCAGGTCTTTCTATCACATCCTCTGTCTTCCCCATGAGCTTTTGCAATTGCAGAAGCACAGGTGGCAACTGAAATGCATGCACCTGCCATTTTGGCACATTGCTGCAAACAAACACAGTGTGAAGTGTAAAATTGCTAAATGCTGTGCTTTGTATTTTCTGAGAATGCATACTGGAAATGCAAGTAAACATATATGTATGTGGTTGTGGATCTGATACTTTGAAGCAAAAGGTTCAATCATGAAACCAATAGTCTCAATAAGAGCCAAAGTTTGCACAGACTCTTTGCACTGGCAAGCTTGCACAGCCACAAATGCAACCAAGCCATGAAAAGACTTGCTTGTGAAGGAAGCATTTGGGAAGCCATTAAAGGCTTGCTAGATGAAAAGAAAGCTATCAAAGCTTGTGGATGCACAAAGGCCAAGGAGCCATGAAAGGCTTGAGATTTGCAAATGGCCATGAAGGCCTGGAAGTGTGGCTGCAAAACAAAAAGCAAGGAGCCATGAAAGGCTTGAGGTTTGCAAATGGCCATGAAGGCCTGCAGGATGAAGCTGGAACACTTTTTCAAGCAGCCTCAAAGATTTCTGCAATAGCATCATAACATCTGCTGATGTTTGAACCCATAAGCACAACATCCAATGCTTATCACTGGAATTGCACTGACCCCACAAAAGGTGCACTAAGCATTTCTCAGCTGCTCTTTGAGCAGCAAAACAACTGCAGTGCTTACTTCTTGCCATTGTCTCTGGCCCATTTTACCCACTCCTGCCTAGAGTAGAACTTGACACCTGCAAACCCAGGCTTTCTGCAAGGTGAGCATCCTCGGATGTTGCCACGGCATCTTTTGCATCCAAATCCTTGGGGTCTGTCTCTCTGTGCTTGGTTGCCCTTCATGGCTTTAGTGTCAGGTCTCTCATTTGGCTTTTGGGTGGAAGCTTTGGCTGAAGCAGGCCTTTTCATGACCTTGCTTTTGCTCTTTGCTTCAACTCTTTTCTTCTGCAAGTGTTCAAAAGCTTTCTTTTCAAAGTCTTCCAGCTGGAGAGCAGGCACTTGAGCTTCAGCTTTGGCTGGGGCAGGCACAGGAAGTTCTTGGTCCATGAGAGGAAGTGCTTCAGCCACCTTCCCAGTAGAACCTTGCATGGGAGTAGCAACAGGTCTGGAAGGATTGACATGCTGCCTGGTGTTGCCAAGGGCTTGTGCAGTCTGTTGGTCCATCCATTTGTCCATGAAGCCTGCAAGCTTTTCAACAAAAGCATCTTGACCTCCAGGGGTTGTAGAAGAAGAAGCTTCACTTGGGCCTTTTCTCTTCTTATTCATCTTGTTCTGCCCTTCAAGCAGCAGACCCTTTGTGTTTCTCAAAGAAATCTGTGCATAAAGGTAGGACAAGGACACTTCCTCCATGGCTGGCTTCTCATTGCCATAGGCTTTTTGTAAAAAAGCTTGAGGCAAACTGGTGGGCAAGGCAGGGTATGCCAACAAACCAAGGACCTGGCACTTCTCAGACTTGGTGTTGCCAAAGGCTTTCACCAAATCATTCACCATGTAGTAGATCTGCCAAGGGTTTGGCATAGCTTGCTTCTGCACAGTGCACTTCACATGCAAGAGCACTGCAATGCATTCTCTCTTAGTATCCTCCTTCATGCTTTTCACTCCCAAAGCCCTGAGTCTTTCACAAAGAACTCTCAGGCCATCCACCATCAAATGGCCTCCATGCAGCTTGTCCCAGTCAGCCTGGGTCAAGTAAGGAGGTAGGTTGTGTAGACTCTGTGGCTTGGTTGAAAGCTGCAAGTTTGTTTGGTTGTTGGCATCCAAGGAATCCATCACTTCCATGATTTGTTCTTTCAAAGGATCTGGCAAAGTGGTGGCCTTGACTTTGCCATACAAGTCAGACAAAGCACTGGGACTCCAAGTAGGCACTCCTTCCAGCCTTTGCTTCAAGGTTCCCAAGGCTGTGTGGCCAACCATGGAATTTGGCCTTTCCTGCAAAAGCTTTGCCACATGCTCCAGCTCATGGCAGAAGCCCTCATTAGACCACTGGTGGGCCATGGTGAAAAGAAACACTAGTATGCTTCACCCACCCAGTGCTTGAGCTTTGCAAAGGCAAGGAACTTTTCTCAAGACAAGCAGCTGTGTGACAGCTGTGCACAACAGGAGCCATAAAGGCTTGCAGCATGGCATAGCCCTGAAGACTTGCAAACTTTCACAGTGAGCAGCCATGAAGGCTTGCAAGTCCATAAAGGCTTGACTATTTGTCAGCAATGGGACAGCCATAAAGGCTTACATACACCACATAGCTATTCAAGCTTGACTATGGAAGAGCCATGAAGGCTTGCAAGGCCATAAAGGCCTGACTACTTTTCAGCAATAGGACAGCCATAAAGGCTTGCATACATACACCACATAGCTATTCAAGCTTGACTATGGAATAGCCATGAAGGCTTGCAAACACTATGGCCACAAAGGGCCTGCATTTGAAAGCTAAAGAAGCTTGCAAACAACACTTGGCCATGAAGGCCTGGAAAAGCTGCATCTTTTTTTCCCACAGCACTTTTGCTTTCAGTAGTACCTCCTGTACTTATCCTTACCCTCAGCTCTCATCACAGAATCATGGATCTCATAGACATTCTTGAACTCCTTGCCCTTCATGAACCTTTGAAGTCCCAAAGGCAAACACCAAAGTGGTTGGCACAAACGCATTTCATTGACCTTTTGGGGTGAAAACCAAAAACCAAAAATATTACTGAAAAAATCCAGAAACGCTCCAATCAACCTTTGGCATTCTTGGTGATCTCCAATGTTGTAGGCACGGGCAAGCACTACTGCTTTGTTGATTCCGCCTGATCTGTGTCCTGGATCTGTGACCTTGGTCTTTGGTGCAGGTCCATGAGCTGCAGGTTCCTTAAGTGAAGGTCCCTTTGGAGGTGACATAGGGGGTGGTACATTTGGTGGTGGTAGTGGAGCTTTTGGGCCTCCTGATGGCTCTGCAGGTTTTGTCTTCTTATGCCATGGAGGCTCCTCTGCAGGCTCAGTCACCTTTCTCTTGCTACTGGGCTTCACATGTTCCTTCCTCTTCTCCTTGTTCTTCTCCTGGGAGTCAGTGATCTCATCCTTGTTGGTCTCCACCTTCAAAGGCTCAGGAACTGAAGGCCAGTCAGAAACTCCTTCCATAAGCATTTCCAAAGCTGTCTTCTGATGATTTGGATCTGTTGGAATCTTGTCTTCTTCTTCTTCTTCTTCTTCTTCTGGAACCTCACCATTGATACTGGGCTCAGTGTCTGCATCCTTGTCCACAATGTCATCAGTAGGTGATGGAGGCCTGGGATGGCTTGCAATCACAACAGGGCCAGTTGATGACATTCCCAAACTCTGAACATAACATCAAAAGCCTGATTCAAATTCAAAAAACAACAGTCAAAATATTGTAAGCCTAGAAAATAGGCATTGGTAAAAAATAAAAACCAAGTCACTCTCCAGGTGAGGGATCTGGCTCTTGCTTCACCACATTGTAACCCAGAAGCCTCCAAGCAAGTCCAGGTATTGCGAATAGTTCGTCATCGTCAGACATGGCTCCAAAGGAAATGCAGCCTAGGGTATTGAATGATTAAGTTGTCGATGGAATTCTACAATCAACACTTGAGTATTTCTTGAAACTTTAGGTTTAGATTCTAAACTTAAAATGGTTTGTTGAAATTTTAGGTTTAGAATCTAAACTTAAAACTGTTTATTTAGATTTTAGGTTTAGATTCTAAACCTAAAATTGTTGATTTTGATTTTAGGTTTAGAGTCTAAACTTAAAATTGTTGATCAAGATTTTAGGTTTAGAATCTAAACCTAAAATATGTAAAGAACATTTGAAGAAGTAAGCTCTTTCAAATGAAAACATATATCTAAAATTGAATTCTATGATGCCAATTATCAGTGAAGATGTAAAGATTTTGGATTTCAAACTACTTGAACTTCAGAATTATTTAGCTTTTCAATTGAAAACCAAATTAGAAAAACATATCCATATACATGGGTTGCATTCAAATGGGCACATTTTCAAGCAGCTTCCCACTTGCAACAACAAACAAATAATTTCTAGATATTGCATTGGAACATTGTTGCAGAAGAACACCTAGATAAATATCTAAATATATGTGTTGGCTGACTTGGTGCTGTGAAACCATGAGAACCCTGCAATGGCAGCAAAGAATCAACAAACTTCAAACAGATATGAAGCAATGAAAGTGATCAAATGGACTTGGCCAACAAGGGCCTGCACATGAATTTGGTCACAGAGGACCTGCAAATGACCTTGGCCACAGAGGGCCTGCAAGTGAGGATGGCCACAAGGGGCCTGTACATGAAATTGGCCACAAGGGGCCTGCACATGAAGTTGGCCACAGGTGCCTGCAAGTGAGGATGGCTACAAAGAGCCTGCAAGTGAAGTTGGCCACAGAGGGCCTGCACATGAAGTTGGCCACAGGTGCCTGCAAATGAAGATGGCTACAAAGAGCCTGCAAGTGAAGTTGGCCACAGAGGGCCTGCACATGAACTAAAGTTGGCCACAAAGGGCCTGCAAATTAACTTGGCCACACCGAGCCTGCTAAAGAAAGAAACACATGTACAAACACTTGCACACACACACAAATGGCCTCAGAGGGCCTGCAGGAGGACATGGCCATGGAAGGCCTGCAAAGCAGATCCCAATGGAACCTGGAAATTGCATACAGCACTTTTTGGCACATCAAATCCCCATTGGACCAGTGGCAGGTCCCTAGGTCAGCTCTGTAAAAGTTCAGGTGTGGCCATGATCTCCACCAGGACCTTCAAGACATTGACTTTGTCTTTGATCTCAATCATCAAAGGCATGAACTGCTGGAGCTGCATGTAGACATTGTGCAATGCATGAGTCACTGACCTGATAGCAACCAGGCAAAGCCACAGCATGGCACAGATTGCCATGGCAGACCCAATTTGCAGAAAGGCCACCAGCATCTTCACAATAAAGAAAGTGGAAATAGGTTCAATTTGAGCCAAAGCTTACAAGGGAAGACTTTTTTAAATAACAACCTGGTTGCATGGTAGTGCTATAGGCCATTAAAAAAAGGTTATAGACAAGATATTGCTCTCCCAAAGATTTGCAAGTTGCCCCAAAAAAGTTAGCCATGGAAGGCTTGCATGAAAAACTTGAAAGCCACTGGGGGCTTGACATTTTCTATAGCCATGAAGACTTGCAAGCTTATAGGCAATTTGTCTACACTAGGCAAATTGCCTGCATAACTATCCACAGAAGGCTTGCAGGTTCAGCAGCCATGAAAGGCTTTGACTGATATTTTTTCAACTCAAGCTTCCATGTGTGTCTAAGTCTGGCTGGAAGACAATGCAAAACGCATTTGGCATTGAAAGACTTTACTTGCCATCAGCTGCCTTCTTGTAAGCCCTAGGATTTGTTCCAAGGCAAAGGTCTATGTCCAACTGAAGTGTTTCCACCACAGCAGACAGCTGCTCAGAATCCATCTCAACCAAGAGGTCTGACTTGGAAGGCCTTTTTCCACACACAAGGCATGTGATCTCTTTCTCCATTGCCACAATGTTCACACAGTAGCATCCAGCAGGCACCTTCCTTTTCTTGCTGGCATCTTTGCTGTCAGCATTTTGGCCAAACAGATCTTCCTTCTCTTCTTCCTCAGCTTCAAGGGAAGCAGAGGCAGCTTGGTTCCTGCTTTTCAAAAGGTCTTGCAAACTGGGGCTAGCAGCCAAGCTAGCATTCTTCTTGTACTTCTCTCCCATCACAAGGCTAGCAATGGTGGGGTGTGTAGGCCTGAACCTCAAAAACGTCTTTCCTTCAAAGGTTTCCACCAAAGAAGATGGCACATGGATCCATTTTCCATTAGGCATCTTGAGCTCCCAGGAATTTCTGACTTCCATCATGTCCAGCAAAGGTGGGATCTTCAAGACAGTATTTACCTTGGGCCAAGAGCTGCTGGGCAGCAGGTTACACTTGTTAATACCATTTGCATAAAGGAAACTCTGCCAGCAAGCTTGCAAAGCCAGTAAAAGAAAGTCATCAAGACTACCAGAAGAGAATGTAAAGCCATACAAGCTGCTGGAAAACGCAGAACCAAGCAGTTTTGTCTGAAGCAACACCATGCAAAGCCAAAAAGGCTTGAGGAACCTGAAGAGCCAGTGTTGGCTTGGTGGCAAAAGTCAGAACACAGCAGCTGTGCCAAAGCAAGGGCAAGGCAGCCACAACCTGGGCCATGAAGGCTTGTAGGTCACCAAGCACTATTTACAAGCTTGCAAGGCACCAAGCAACTAGCCATGCTGGCTTGCAAAGCACATCCTGGGAGCTATGGAAGCTTGCAATGCACAAAGCAAAGCCATAAAGGCTAAGAGTAACAAAGCACAGAGCTCAGCCATGAAGGCTTGCAAGCTTAGCCATGCAAAGGCTTGAAAAGAAAATACCACATCTTTTTGTGTCTTGCCAGCACTTGTTTGTGGCCTGCCAACATGGCATGGAAGGATTACCAAGCAAGGAGTTTCACACCTTGCCACAGCTGCTCTTTTGCAGGCTAACTTACATTGGCTGCAAACTTGCTGTGCTACAACTTCAAGACTCAGTTTTGGCTTTTTTTTCGCTTGCACATCTTTCAAAGGATTCTCCACCATCAACTTCTCATTGGTTCCCACAGGGCGAATGTTGGTCAAGACAGGGATCTTGCAACCATCCACTGTGATCTCTGCATGGCCCATGTTGTGCTCCTCAAGGGGCCCAGCCACTTTGACCCACCAGAAAGGAGCCAGCACACCTTCAGTCTTGGTGAAATCAGAAAGCGCTTTGAAGGGTTGAATTTGCCATTGGTGTCCACATGCCTTGATATACACTTTGTCCTTGCTGGGGGCACCCTTGAGTTTTGCCACAGTTCCACAAGGAACCAACTTCAAAGAACCTTTTTTGATTTTTTTCAAAGACCAAATGTGATTTGGATGGTTGGAGAAAGCCACATCCCCTTCATTGATGGCATGATCCATGCATGCTTTGAGCAAAGCATGCTGCACTTGAGTTTTCTGCAGCTCTGCTTGCACCACAGCACTCAAGCTTGGCATGTGCAGCTTCTTCTTCTCAGGCTCACATTTCTCTGGAGGGTGAGATTTGGTCAGCTTCCATTGCTTCAGCTCAGTGAAAGGCACATGCACTCTCTCTTCTCCACTGAACAAGGGCTTGTGCACCATGATGCAGGAAGTGTCTGTTGCAGACATGTAGGTGAAGATCTTCTGCCCATGCTGGCTTGCATTCACATACCTAGCAAGCAATAGCTGCTTAAGCCTTAAAACAGTAAAGCAAAAACTTAGCTTGTAAACAAAACACAAAATGATCTTAGTTCCAATGAAGCTCAGCCCAAGTGCAATTCATTGACTTTGATGTGCTGGTTCTGCAAGAGTGCCAATTCAGCTGGGCTGGCAGTGAAAACATTGATCACAGGCAAATTCGAACTTGAAGAAGCTGCTGCTGCTTGGACAGGTGAAGGATTCTGAAGTTCCTCAGCAAACTTCTCACCAATCTCTTTCAAGTCCTTGAAGCCTGAAGGTTCTCTTCCAACTTTCTCTTTGCCCACAACATGTAAGCAGACCCTGACACACAGCCTGCCATAGGCACCCACTTTCTGACTCTCACCAGCTGTAGAGGACATGTACAAAGTCCAAGAATCAGCCAGCAGCTGCCTGAGATTGGCTGCAACTTAAATACATACAACTACAGTTTGAATTAGGATACAAAACTTCCCCCACCCATCAAACTTGTTGCTTATGCAACTTCAAGTTGCTCTGCTTCAAGCACCAGAGCCCTGATCGAAGGAGCCTTCACTCTCTCAGTGTCACTCTTGGACAGGATTCTAGAAATTCCATCCACTGACCTTTGTGCACTCATCATTGTTGCCCACCTCAGCTTGCTTTGGTCAAGAAAGCCAGCAAACTTCAAAAAACTACAGACAGTTTTTTGACAGCCATAGAAGGCTTGAGCCAGCCACAAAGGCTTGCAAAACTGACAGCCACACTAGGCTTAGGAAAGCTTGGAAAGATTTACAGAGCTGATAGCCATGAGAGGCTTGGGGCAGCCACAGAAGACTTGCAAAGCTGACAGCCATAACAGGCTTCATGAAGCCACCAAGGGCTTGGAAAGCTGACCTTGCATGCTGCCAAGGCACATGCTGGCTCTCAAGAAAGGCAGCAAGTTGTCAGAGTTCTTCATCTCAAAGGAGCTGATGGCTCTCATCATCTCTTCACCAACCATCAGAGTGCCATAAGACTTGCCTGGGTGAAGACTCCAAAAATGGCACAAATAACCAGCATAGTAGCCACTTTGTGCAAGAAAGTCACCCAAAAAATATGCCATTCAACCAAAGAACCAAACTTGGAAAGGAAGGTAATGATTGGAGCATCCTTGCCACCAGCAAACTTGCTGACATACATTGCAATGCAATCCAAGCTGGATTTGCAGGCAGGGTCACAAGCTTTCACAACTTCCAAAGCAAGCTTCAAGGATTGCCCTTGCTGCAAGCCCTGTGCCAGTTGTGCTGCACATTCCACCTCAGAAAGCTGCTTGGCATTCGAGTTGGTGGAGTTTAGGGCAAGCTGCAGCCATGATGGCAATTGTTTCCATTCTGCTTCTACAGCAGCAGAGAACACAATCCAAGTCCACCCTTGGTTCAGCAAATCAATGATGGCATCACTTCTTTCCTCTCCTTGCCTCAACTGAAGGACATGGTCATCACCAGGTGCTTGGCAGCCAGCTTCCACTGCCTTGAGCCACGCAGTGGTGTGTGAGCTGGAAACCGACAAGAACCTTTCCTTGCCAGTCAAAGGAGCTAGAAGCTGTGGAGTGCTTGCAACCAATGCTCTGTTGGCAGCAAGTTGCTCATTTCTGGCTTGAGGGCACAAAGCTAACTCAAAAGCAAAGCTTTCAGTCAGCAGCTCTTTTCTCACTCCCACCTTCCACATCCTCATTCCTTTGGCCCAGCAATCCACAGCACTCAGCATTGATCCTGATCTGTTCTGAGGATGCACCAAGACTTCCCCAGGTTTGATCAAGGCCTTGTATGCTAAGCCACTTTCCAAAAGGAAGGAAGTCAGCTTTTGCACTGTGACAAGAAGTGGTTCACCACTCCCAAGGATCTTTTCCACATTCTTCTTCACAGTCTCAGAGATTGCCACCATGGCACTAACTCAAAAACACTTCTTTGTACAGTCCTTGCTTTGAGCATAGCACTGCAATGACAGTTGCCCACATTCTTCCCCTTCTTGTCAAGGGAATGGTGCACATGTTTCAAGCAACAGCCATTTGCAGGCTTTCAATGGAAGCTGTGAAAGCTTTCATGAATGGCTATGCAAGCTTGCACAAAGGAGCCATGAGCAGGCTTTCAATGAAAGTTCGAACTGCTTGGACAAAAAGCTATGGAAGCTCGTAGCAGAAAGCCATTTGTAGGCTTCATGAACCATGAAAGCTTTCAACCACAGCCATGAAGGCTTTAAACCACAGCCATGAAGGCTTTCAAACCACAGCCATGAAGGCTTTCAACCACAGCCATGAAGGCTTTCAACAAAAGCCATGGAAGCTTCAAAAAAGCTTTTGATAGCTTCCACAACATGCCAACTATATTTTCAAGGGCAGGCATGAGAATTCTCAAAGCTTCCAAGGGCTTGCCTACACAATCTTTTTGCAAGCTTTCAAGGAAAGCCATCAAAACTTCTGCTGAAACAGCTTGGGAAAGCTGCCAATAAAGAAACATCTTTCAGGCTTGGATACAATGAGCGTATTGCCAAGATGGATGTGCAAATGTTGCTGGAAAATTGTGTTAACCATCTGAAAAGCAACCAAGCCAATGTAGAATGAATTTTCATTTCTACAGATCAACATTCCCAAGAAAGTTTCTAATACAGCACAGAATGGCTTGTGCCAAGTCAAACTTTGATTGCCCAAAAAAAGGCTTGTATCCAAATCATTTTTTGTATTTTTCCCCCTGGTTTTGTGAACATTTGCTTTCAAACATGATTTTTTGTGCACTGATGTTGTGTTTGCAGCACAAAGGATTGCATTTAAAAATGTAAGTTACTACTTCCAAAAGCATGACATGTAGTGGATGATCCAGAGCAATGTAACCACCCTAACCCCTTAGAGGCTTTAACATAGTTAGCTAAACTTTATGTTTCCTTAGCTAACCTCTGTAACCCCAGTTGTCACTTAGCATACAGTTAACATAAACTTAGCATAGGGTTAGAACAGAGATACAAGATGGTTACCTAAACTTCACAAACCATGTAAACCACTAGTAAAGACACAGCTGATCCAAGTAACACATGATTCAGGTCCAGCTTCAGTGCAGCTTCCTGGTGTCAAGCAGATGTTGGAAGCTGCATCGGAGAGCTACATGCCTTTGAAGAGCACGCCTGTGGAGGACAGGTATGCCAGGGTATGAGTCAAACTTGGGATGCTTTGGGGACCACAAAAATGATCAAAAATGGTCGTTTTAAGTAGGGAACCCATGCATTTTTTGGGTTCCAGACATTTCCAGACCTCTGTTTGGCGCCGGGATGGTGCACATTTGTTTGGCCTGACTGTTCAGGGTCTGGCTTTGCAACGCAGGGTCTTGTATCAAAACATGTCTTGCAACATTTTTTTTTGCCCGTGACATTGTCAACTTGAACCCTTCATTTCGGTGGGATATGATCCAGACCCGGTCGTTAGAGGGATGGGAGGGTTGTTGTTATTGGGCGGGGGAGGGTTGTTGTTAATTGGGGGGTGTTGTTGTTCATTGGAGAGGGAGGGTTGTTGTTAAATTGGTGTTGTCAATTTTGGGGTTGTTGTTACTTGGGGGCGGATGGGTGGGTGGCAGAAAAGGCTCCCGTAGATTAATTTAGAATAGACAATGCACCCGTAGACTCATTGACTAGCAGAAAATGCCCCCATAACAGAAGAAGAAGAACTAGTAGTAGTAGTAGTAGTAGTAGTAGGAGTAGCAGTAGCAGTAGCAGTAGCAGTAGCAGCAGCAGCAGTAGTAGTAGTAGCAGTAGCAGTAGCAGTAGCAGCAGCAGCAGTAGTAGTAGTCGTAGGATGTAGTAGGATGTAGTAGGATGTAGTAGGATGTAGTAGGATGTAGTAGGATGTAGTAGGATGTAGTAGGATGTAGTAGGATGTACTATAGGAGGAGTAGTAGTAGTACGTAGCAGTAGCAGTAGTAGTAGTCGTCGTCCGAGTAGTACCACCCCATTGAACAACAACCCCTTTCCAATTAAACAACAACCCCCCTATTGAACAACAACCCCTTCCCCCAATTGAGCAACCCCCGTCCCCGCCTTGTTGTTCTTCTCCGGGGGGGGTTCCCGAAGCCTCGCGAACAACAACCCCTGCTTATTAACAACAACCCCTTACCCCTATTAAGAACAACCCCCCACACTTGCTTATCGACCCGGTCTCATATGATCCTGAACCCACAGGTCCGATGATTGAAGGCTCCTGGAGGGGCAAAGGCCAGACCTGCGGCAGTTCCTGTGAGAGGCAAATATGAAATCAACCCGTTCAGCTTTCGCCGTGACGCTACAGCTCCACATTTCACGTCCTTTTGAAATCCATGGCGCACCATGCTTCATGAACCTGGGGTATCCTCAAACCCATTGGTTTTCCCAAAGCACATGACCAATTGCTAGATTTGCTAGATCGTTGGCCGTTGGGATCGTACCTGGGTGCAAGGCTTCAGTGGCAATGGAATCACCCATCAACACCTCTTCCGCTTTGCAGACTGGGATGGTGATGGCGACATGGATTTGATCGTTGGTCATTACATGAATACCTCAGACCCCTGGGACAAGCTACAGATTGAGTTCCACGAGCGCCTTCCTAGTGGCGCCCTCCAAGCAAAGCCCTGGCATACCGTGGAATCGACTCCTGAGGCGATGGAAAGCTGGTGATGTGGGGGGTGGAATCAAATGGGAACCATCCGTGACTGGACATAAGAAAATCATTACAAAAGCAACAAAAACGTAATTTGTAACTTCGCGATCAGAAAATCATGCACGGCGATCGGAGAGCGACTGGGATCACGAGACTTGTCAGATCTTTGCAGTATCATTTAATATCATTTGATAACCAATCCCTTTTAAAAAATATTCCTGGGTACCGACTAGGTTATGGAATACTTTTTTGGAATATTATATTTCCTTGAATAATTTCCTCAAGGTGTGGGTGTGGGTCTACGATTATGCATGTTTGAGTTTGAACATCATGATCCAGCCCCTCAACATACCCCGGAATAATATGGAATAATTAGGTTTTGGCATAATTTCATATAACTTGAAACATTTCGAAACAGCCTAAACTTCCCTATACCTGGCCTGGCCCTTCCAAAAGCCGTTCCTAGCTTGGTGGTGTTTGCCTGAAAGCCTTCGGCAGGAAATGCCAATTGCAGTTGTTTGAGACACCATGCAGTTTGGGCAATTACTGCCAATTTTTCCCGAGAGCGTCTGAGCGCAGGGTTCTTCCAATAGTGGGGGTCTGTAAAACATCTTCTCATCTTCACATCTCATCTTCACATCCTCTCATCTTCACATCTCATCTTCACATCATCTCATCTTCACATCCTCTCATCTTCACATCCTCTCATCTTCACATCTGCTCATCTTCACACCTTCCCATCTTCACATCTGCTCATCTTCACACCTTCCCATCTTCACAGCTTCTCATCTTC